CATCCAGAACTTTGGAGTATTGACCATACTTAAAGACACAGGTAGAGAAGGACTTAGGCTGCAAGGTTCTAAAGGAGAAAGCCTCAGAATTCCAAGGGGAAACAAACCTTTATTTCAAGAATAAACTGTGATGTTTGATAACAAAAGTCCAAAGGCTACTTACAAATTCAGAAAGGACTAGAGATGCTGGTATTTCAAAGCTATTTCCAGGAAAACTGACTCAGGTACCCACAGTTGAGTATCTGTGGCTCAGACGCCCTGAGCTATTTCCTATCTCTGTGACTCATTTTCCTCTTTGTGCCTGTGACTTTTTGTATGTGTATGCATATATGTATATATATTTGTGACTCTCTAAAGGAAAAGCCAGTTTGCTGTATCCTCTTATTTAATTTTTTCTTGATAAAATTATTTCCCTTTCACTTTTTTTAGCTTAGTTTCATCATGTATCCTTAGGTAGAACAGGTAGAAAGCTTCTCAGTTCTTTGATTCTTCATCCATCCATTCATTAATTGTTCCTGAATGTCTGTTGTGTACCTAGTGTGTGCAGTTAACAATAAGGAAAATAAGAAAAAATCAAAAAGCCTTTGTCCTCCTGAAGCATCCGTCTAGCAGAAGGGGACATACAATAAACAGGTAAACAAAATGGAATGTTAGCTAGTGATAGTTCCGCAGAGAAAAATAAAGCAGTGGGGAGGTGGGGGTTCAGGGGCCAGGTCCTTCGAGCCTGGAGATGCAGTTGGTCTGAGATGGTCAGAGAGGGGACCAACAGGAACACTCACAGCGCCAGGGCTTTCCACGCTGGCTCTCAGCAGAATCTTTTCAGGCAACTCGTGACATGCATATTCTCAGTTACCCTTAGAAATTCTGATTCTATAGATCTTGGGGTGGCTGAAATGATGTATTTTTAACAACGGTCCTAGGTGATTCTCATGCAGCCCTTGGTCCCACAAAGTTTGAGAACCAGTGACTTAGACAGCAAAGGCAGCTGGGAGATTAAAGTTTAAGGAAGCATCCAGAAACCAGGAGGTTTTGGGGAAGAAGACAGGACACTTCTCATTTTGTCCCCTCCACCCATCTTCCACAGCCTAGAAGCAGCCCCCCTGTCATTTCCTGCATCCTGTCCACACCACGGCTTAGAGCCTCAGCTCCCCTGCTCTTCATATGCAAAGGCAAGCTGCTTTTGGAATTACGAGAACTCTTTCCTCTCCTAATAAAGCTTGCTAACATACAGTTCAAAATTGAGCAACTACTTCCTTGTTCTGGACAGCACCTACTGTCTACCTTGGAGGCACCTTCAGGAGCAGTGGGTGCCACTGATTCCTTGGGTGAGAGAAAATGACAGGGAACACGATCTATGGAGCATGAAACAGACATACATTGGTTTCACGTTTCAGAAATATTATCTTTGCTGTGCACTTTTTCGTCCTCGTGTTTCTTTCCATGTGAGCAGCATTTAACACCTCTGGCTGCTCCTTCCTCTTTGAAATGCTTTCCCCTTCCACATTCTGCTGGTTTCCATTTCAGGCTGTTCTTCCTGAGTCTTCTTTATAGGTTTCTCCTCCGCTCCTCCCTTAAATATGGTTCTCCCCAGAACCATATCTAACACATATGCTACACGTCTCTGTGTTTTGAAGACCATCTTTCTTCCCCCTCCCACCTGAGCTCCATCTGCACAGCCAACTTCTTCTTGAAGGGTCTCCTTCGGGGCCTCCCAGTAAACTTCAACTCGCCAGGTCTAAAATCCCCAGAGGTGGGGAAAAAGTTAACTACTCCTGCCTCTGGGATGGAATCCTTTCAAATGGAAACCCAAGAACCTAAATTGAACTATATGGAGTAAAAAAAAAAGCCTTTCAAGGGAATTTCAAGGTTATTGATAGTGTATGGTAAATAATGGGCTCAATGAAATCTCTCTCTTACCTCTTGGTTTTTTTTTTTTTTTTTTTTTTTTGAGATAGAGTTTGGAGTCTGACTCTGTTACCAAGGCTGGAGCGCAGTAGTGTGATCTTGGCTCACTGCAACCTCTGCCTTCTGGGTTCAAGTGATTCTCCTGCCTCAGGCCCCTGAGTAGCTGGGGTTCTAGGTGCGTGCCACCACACTAGCTACTATTTGCATTCTTAGTAGAGACAGGGTTTCACCATGTTGGTCAAGCTGGTCTCGAACTCCTGACCTCAGGTGATCCACCCCCCTCAGCCTCCCAAAGTGCTGGGATTACAGGCATGAGCCAGCTCGTCTTACTTCTCTTGGCATCTTAATGCTGTGGACAGATTGAGTAACTCTATTTTCTGCAATTAATTCAGGCACTATGCATTTGATTTCTGGACTATAGGGAGAAGACTGGACCTCAAGAGCACTGGATTTGCTTGGGAGATGACAATGTATCACTTTCTGGAGTATCCCCTGTAAGGGGTTAAAGGAATCTAGACCGTGATAAAATTCCTTATCAAAGAATCATAGCCCAGGACTGCTAAACTTTATTTTCCTTTCCTTGCTTACTTTTCTTTCTTTCTCTTTTCTTCTCTTCTCAGATACTCTTTACCAATTTCTTTTTCACACACAAGGTTCTTTCTACTTCTATAGTGCGGTGAAGCCATTGCTTTTGAATAAAGACATATACGCTAGTGATGCCAGCCCTAGGCTCACCTACCTCTCCTCTCTTCCCCTGGCCTTCTCTTGGCTAACTCAACCTTTTAGTGGCTGGATGTGAAAAAGGGGCACACCCCATGCAGCTTGTCTACATGGTTTAGAGCAGTGGTTTTAGTTTTAAGATGCAGGCCGTTCCTTCCCATTCTCCCGTGAATCCTCAATAGAGAACACAGATCGGAGTGAGCAGGGCTAATGGCTGCAGTGGAAGCAGGAGCCTCTTTCCTCGCATGTCCTCGTGGGGAACTTCTGCTGGTCGTGGTTCCCAATACTAGCTTTACATGACAATCACCTGGGGAGCCTGAAAAAAATATCCTCAAACGCAGGCTACATCCCAAAGCAAACCAACTGAATCAGAATTTCTAGGTGTGGGGCCCAGGCAGCAACAGTTTTCAGAGTCCCCCAAGTAATCCTGGTGGACCCCTCTGGCCAATGGCTGCATCTGTGTCACTGCATCTCCTGCTGTCTATGCTGTATCAGACCCAGTCTGGGAGGAAGGAACTGAGCATATGTGGGCCACGGGCCAGCCCCGATGGCATCTGCCACCCCCCTGCAATTGTCCCATTCTGGGTGAAGTATTAGCATAGCAAGCCCATGTGATCAGATGGGGACTCTATCTTTCAAACAGCTTTACCAGTAAGATAAGAGAAAATTTTATTTCCTTTGCCTACAACCTGTTTCCATACCTCAGTTGGTTCCAAACTTAGGCAGAAAATAGAGAAGTGTTGCTTCTGACCCTCCCCCACCCCCCAGCTTTCCACCAAGGCCCCGTTTGCTATACTTCCCCTTCCTGCACCCTCCAGACAGCCCCTGGCACAGTCCTAGGTGGCCTCCGAGCACCACTGGAAAATCACATGGAGGTAGCAAGCGGTCAGGCAGAGACGCGAAGAGCGCTCTGGAGCTGGATTCTGATTTTGGCTCTGCTGCTTACTAGCTATGAGACTGGGAGCACGCTACTTAATCTCTCTGTGCCTAGTTTCCTCCTCTGTAAACCAGGTTAGTAATAATAAGTATGACAGTATTTATCTCGCAGGAGTGTGGTGAAGAGGCAGTGTGTTAGTCTAAATAGGCAACCCTTGGAACCTGACTCTGAGCTGTGAGTGTGAACTGGCGCTGCTTACAGAGACAGGCTCTGCCCCCAAACACCAACAGCTACCCATGGAAATGCAAATCAAAACCTCATTGAAAATGGGAGGGATCACTAGTTTCTGAGTGTGTTTAATTGGATATTATGAGGTGTGGAACTCCCTCCTCTTCTGGGGGACTTCAGAAGATTTATAGGAATTCAATCAGGACCATATGGGTGAGCATCTTGAGCTTAAGCTAAAAGGAGCTTTCATTTTTATTGAACTGAAGACAGGCTACTCTGGAACATCCAGACAGGGTGGATGGCAGAAGCCCAGGGCACTCCAGCCAAGCTTTGGAAACTCCCTTGCTCTAGAGATGCCTGTGTACCTGAGACTGGAACTAAAGAAGCCCCTTAGCCCCTTCATATCATAAGGGCTCAAGTTCTCTCTCCCTTGTGGTTGCAGAATTCAGAACAGCAAACACCAAAGCCAGACCAGCTTTGAGCTGCCAGGCTCAGATACAAAACACAGCAGTCAGGATCTGGTGTGTGAGACATCGGTCTGGAGCCGTACAAACACCAGGTTTTGGGTGCACAGCTGATAGGAAAGAGTGGGTCATTGAGTAGGGAAAAGAGAGTGTCCAGGGCCTTAGAGAGCTGGTAGCATCTTGTGGAGCCTGCCCTTCCCTTGAACTTGGCCTGGAGGTTAACTTGGGTGTTCCTGCCTGCCATGATCGCCCACTCCTCCCCAGTCATTCACTGCCATCACCTCCCTATTTAAGATTCGATTGGCAACTCACTTTTGTTTCATGCTGTTCTCTAGTTTCTTGCTATGTAAAGTGTGGTTCACTGTCCGGAAACAATGAAATTACCTGGCAGGGTCTTATAAACGCAGACTCTTAAGCCACCCTGGCCCTCTTGAGTCAGAGCCTGCATTGTAGCCAGATCCCCAGGTGATCCATTATGCATGACAGTCCAGCAGACACTTACAGTTTCCTCCTGGGGTCCCCAAAGCGCCTCAAGCTTTATCTCTGGACACAGGCGAATGCCCTGTGTACTTGTTGACTCACAATTCATTTATGGCAACTGGGGATGTGGGAGGCTGGAGAAATGAAAGATACTCAACACAGGGTGTGGTGCTTTCTGCATAATAGAGAGGTCTGAAGGTCCAGTGGGCAAGGCATTTCGATGTGTCACCTGAGCAAGTCATGCAACATGAACTGGCTCTCATCACGATTTGGACAGAAGAAACCTGCTCCGTAAGAGAAGAGAGTTTGCATTTCTCGTGTCTTACCTCATTCAGCTTTTCAGGACTGAAAGCAGACATCAGGGCACCTCTGACCTCTTCCCATCTTTTGTCACGTAAAAACAGAACGCTGTCGGCTACCGACTTGAACTCCAAACCCGACGCCTGTTGGGAAGTAACAAGCAGAGGGTCAGGACTCAGAGAGTCAAAGCCACCTTGGTGGCAATACAGGTCCATGACAAACACCCTGGTTAAAGTCCATCGATGGCCAACAAGTTAGGAGGCTGCTCTTGCAAGGATACAGAGGAAGAATATAAAGGCTCACAGGCAGTGATAGAAAGAATCATGGCCAGGGCCCAGAGGGAGCAGATGGGCAAGCTCTGGTGGCTCAGTTGTACCTGCTACGATGTGGTCATCATCATACGCACAACTCAATGGCTTCTGTGTGTTCTGCAGTCCCCCTACCGAGCGGGGATTCCCTGAAGACAAACAAAGCACGCTTCCCGGAGATGGCCTAGTCTTTCTTGATAATTAGTATCATGTGTGAACTTTGTGGCACAGGGTTTTGTGTGACTGGATTGGTTAGGTTGGACCCGGAGTTGACAGACTCACTCGTCTGGACCCTTGTTGTATGGGTTGAGGGAGAGGGAAGGGGGAAAAAGGAAAGGCCTTCAGAAGCATGTGCCAGGAGAGCTGCTTCCAAGAGCGTGCCTGCCATCATGTTTCTGTGTTCTATCGGTCATTCATTTTTTTCTCAGTCAGCCAACAGTGGTTGGTAGCCTAATATTGTGTTATGGGATGAATTCGGCCCCCCACCCCAAACTTCATATATTTAAATCCTGACCCCAAGAACCACAGAATGTAACTGTGCAGTCAGCCTTCTATATCTGGGCGTTCTGCATCTGTGGATTCAACCAATCCTGAATCAAAAATATTCAGAAAAAATTTCACCAAGTTCCGAAAAGCAAAACTTGAATTTGCCCTGTACAGAGAACTACATTGAATCCATGTACATGAAGTGATGTGTAGGCATTGTATTAGGTATTATAAGTAATCCAAAGTTGATTTAAAGCATACAGAAGGATGTACGTAGGTTATATGCAAATACTATGCCATTTTATATCAGAAACTTAAGCATCCACAAATTTTGGTGTCCTGAGCAAGGGTGGGTACTGGAACCAATCCCATGAGATACTGAGGGATGGCTGTATTTGGAGATAAGGTCTTTGAAGAGGTAATTAAGGCCAGGAGTGGTGACTCACGCCTGTAATCCCAGGACTTTGGGAGGCCGAGGCGGGTGGATCACCTGAGGTCAGGAGTTTGAGACCACCCTGGCCAACATGGGGAAATCCCCTGTCTACTAAAAATACAAAAATTAGCCAGGCATGGTGGTAGGCACCTGTAATCCCAGCTACTTGGGAGGCTGAGGCAGGGAGAATTGCTCAAACCCAGGAGGCGGAGGTTGCAGTGAGCTGAGACTGCACTACTGCACTCCAGCCTAGGCAACAGCGCAAGACTCTGTCTCAAGAAAAGAGGTAATTAAGGTAAAATAAGGTCATTAGGGTGGGTCCTAATCCAACATGACTGGGGTGCTTATTAGAAGAGGAGATTGGGACAGAGACACACACAGAGGGAAGACCATGTGAGGATATAGGGAGAAGACAGCCATGCACAGGTCAAAGAGAGAGGCCTCTGGAGAAACCAACACTACTGACACCTTGACTTCAGGCTTCTGGTCTCCAGCACTGTGGGAAAATCAATTTCTATTGTTTAAACCCCCAGTCTATGGTTGGTTGGTATAGTAGCCTAGTAAACTAATACAGGGTTCAAGAAGTTGTCTATACCGTCTTGAATGAAAAAGACTTTGCGGCCGGGCATGGTGGCTCACGCCTATAATCTCAGCACTTTGGGAGGCCTAGGCGGGTGGATCACCTGAGGTCAGGAGTTCAAGACCAGCCTGGCCAACATGGTGAAACCCCGTCTCTACTGAAAATACAAAAATTAGCTGGGTGTGGTGGCAGGTACCTGTAATTCCAGTTACTCAGGAGGTTGAGGCAGGAGAATCACTTGAACCTGGGAGGCGGAGGTTGCAGTGAACTGAGATTGCACCACTGCACTCCAGCCTGGGGGACAAGAATGAAACTTCATCTCAAAAATAAAAAATAAAAAAAGAAAAGAAAAAGACTGCGTTGGCCCTCATGAGTTAGCAGTCTAGAGGGGAAGCAGAGAGTAAACTCTTAAGCTAACCATTAGATGGAAAGTGAATTTTCCCGGAGGGAAAGTGTATTTCTTGGAGAAAGTATAGTTTCCTGGAGGGAAAATGGGGCAAGGTGGGACATCGGTAGGGAGCATGGTTGGGAGGCTTCTCTGAGGTGAGCACTTTGGTCTCCTCATTCCTTCTTCCCAGGCCATTCTGTTTCTTTCTATAACCAACCATCCCACTAAGTGGTCAAAAATGGAGCCCCCACCATTGGTCAGAGTGTCGCCAGCCTGCAGGTTCCAGGCTGTGGGGAGACAGGGGGTTGGGGGCCCAAGCAGTCTCAGAACCACGTGTGCTGCATGGTGACGCTATTTCTTTTCACTGTTTTAATTATAGCTGAAACATGAAGCCAGTCATCAGAATTCAAAAGCCTTGTAAAAACTCCTATTTAGAGGAAAATTATAATTTTCTGATAAAATATGAACACTCAAAATAAGCCATAAAACATAACTGCAAAGTATCTAGAGGGGAGTTAATTATATATTAGAACCAAGATGCTGGGATATTTTTTCTGCAGAGGAATACCTCTCTATATTTAGAAGGAAATTCTTTAGGAGCGCCATGGCCACTCAAGAGAATTATGGTTTTATGGAATTTGGGGAACATAATCCATTTGTTTAGGTTCCAGAGTTGAAGGAGGAAATCATACATTATGTGTATTTATGTAGTGGCAAGATGCAGTCCTGTGGCACACTACATGGAATAAAGCATTTAACTCCAAGCAAAGTGGGGTGATGGTTTACGTGGTTCTGATGAGACGGAATAAATTAGAGCTAAGAGTGAAGACTGACTGGATCTTGTACCTATCCTTAACACTTAAGGGTGAATTTACACTATTTTTTTCTTGCACCTGAAAGACAAATGTAGTCTTCCTTGCAATATGTCAGCATGGCCTTCAAGTATCTTTCTCACCAGCCTGCCATGACACTGTGCTCCCCTGGGCCTGGAAATTCCATTAGAATCCTCCATTTTTTAATGAAATCATTTGGGGCTATTGGTTATTGTAATGTTTTTATTTCTGAAAAGATTTTGTTTATTTTTTTAAAACAGGGTCTTGCTCTGTCACCCAGGCAGTAGTGCACTGGTGTGATCATGGCCACTGGAACCCCAAACTTCTGGGCTCAAGCAATCCTACCCTCTCAGTCTCCTGAGTGGCTGGGACTAGAGGCACATGCCACCATGTCAGACTGATTTTTAAGTTTTTTTGTAGAGATGGTGTCTCACTATGTTGACCAGGCTGATGTTGAACTCCTAGCCTCAAGGGATCCTCCCACCTTGGTCTCCCAAAGTGCTGGGATTACAGGCATGAGCCACTGTGCCTGGCCTCTTTTCGTTTCTAGATGTCCTGTGTTAAGAGGAAATTGATCATTTCAAAAGAGCAGTCAGATGGTGAGGGCACATTGAATCATGTCATATATGAAATAGTTGTCAGATTTTGGAATTTTAAACTGGAAAAGAGAAGATTTGGAAGATCAGATAGTGGTACTTAGGCATGTGCCCAATAAATATTTATTGAATACTTACTGCATGGGAGAGGGAATTTAGGGTTTTTTTTTTTTTTTTTGGTGATCTTGAGAAGTGGAATTGTGTTTAATAGGGGAAACTATGGGGAAAATTTCAGCTTATCTGAAGGAGAACTATTCCAATAGTCAACAGACAAAATTATTCAAAGATAAGATAACCTGCCTTGAGCGATGAGCTTCACACTCCTGGTGCCTATTCCACTTCTTGGAAATCCTGTACCCAAGGCTTGCGCATGCAGAGGGGTTTGGTCTACAAGCCTTGCAAGAAGTTTTTCAACCCTGATACTTCATGTATGGAAAGTCACTGCAGACACTCTTTTTCTATTAGTTTGCCTACACATTGATTTAAAAAAC